TGGCTGTTTGTCCTTCAAAAGTGTCACTCCCTACAGAGTCGTCCTGAATGTATCTGTAGCTGCAGCCCTGGGGTCTGCCCTGTTGGCCGAGAACTCGTGTGGCTCTTAGGCCAGTAATATATGTCCCCTCCCACTAAATCCCGAGTTTCAGTTACCCCCCCCCAACACATAGCGGCTGATACCGTGACACGCGCATCCTAAAGAATCCAGCTGTGAGATACAGTCCACTACACTCGGAAGCAGGGCCGTTCGCCAGATACACGGTGATGTATAACAGCGTTTTTCGGGAACATGAGAAAAGAATAACGACCCCAGGGTTTATGCCTCTCCCTTACTGCAGCAGACTAGTAGGAGCCTGTTAAGTTTTGTAATTAACGGGTTGGCTGCCTCTTGCTTCCCCACTTCTGATCGATTCTGCAACAGGACTCGTTCTAAGATGCAAATCCGCCTCCCCCTCCTCAGAGCAGCGCACTTAGCACAGGGCTGGCAGGGGAGATGCCTACGGGCCAGCAGGGAGCCGAGAGAGGTGGCAGCGTGGGCCAGATGAGAACTGCCCGGAGGCCCTGTGGGGAGGGTGGGGGCCGACGGGACGGGAGCATCAGCTGGGGAGCACTCACCACCGCCTCTTGTTGCCAGGCACACGCCCGGGGCTGCCAGAGCGCAGCGTTTAAGAAAAGCTCAAGGCCTGGATTTCAGTGAACGCTCCACATTTTAAATCTGACAGCTAATCACAAAGTGTTTGAAATGCCGCGAGGCCCGTACAAGATGCAGCTGTGAGCCCGTCCTGGTTCAAGGACCACCAGTGTGTCTTGGGTGCAGCATTCAAGGCCCTGAGCGTGCAGGCCTCGGCCAGCCTCTCCATTTGTCCCACCTAGCCCCAGCTTGTTCTCTCGTGCTAACCTGCCGATTGTTCCTCAAGCAGTCCGTACATTTTCTCACCCTCGTGCCCTGGTACGTATTGTCCCCTCAGCCTGGAATGCCCTCCCACCCCCGATCCTTCCTTTAGCCTAGAAAACTTATATGCAGACTTCAGAGCCCACCTCTGATGGAGTCAAAGGGGGCTTTCCTAGCCATCCCTGTTGTTCTTAGATAGGGGACCACACTGCCACCCCTGGATGCAGAGGTCGGCTTTGACAGCTCCCTCACCCTGAGCCCTCGCTCTCCTTTCCAAATCTATTGCAGCTACGTCCCCTCCTCTCTGTCTCCACTGCCACCATCCTGCTTCTGGCCACCCTTAACTCTCACTCCTTTAGCCTTTGAACTGTGCTCCCTGCCCTCCCTCCTCCCAGCTCCAGAATGTCA